GGTCTCTAAGGCGTCCTCACACGCCCGTCCCCCATCCCTGGGTGTGGATGTGGTTTTGACAACAACGAGTGGTCCCCTCTCCCTCCAGGAGAATAAGACTGAAACGTGGGTCCCCCCCGCCTTCCTCCACTCCTGATCAGCTCACCGTGATCAGAGCCCCACATGGCTGTGTATCCCTCCCGACGATGTAAACAGTATTACAAATAATAATAATGATGTTAGTCCCGGGGTGTCCTGGCAGGGCCCCTAAAAGCAGCAGGCGCGTCTGTGTGGGCACCCAGGGCCAGGCGTGCAATGGCTGAAGGGGCCAGGCGGACATGGGGTGTCCTGGGGGGCGGACTGTTTGTAGGGTGTAAGGCAGGGGCCCCAGGGGCGGGAATGGGCTGCGCGAGGCCTGGGAGATGGGGTGCGCCCCGCGGGGGCGGCGGGAGCACGGCGTTGGGAGGTCACGGGGTTGCAGGGGGTCGTGGGGCTGCACCCCAGGGCTCGCGGGACAGGGGTGAGGCGAGGAGGGCGTGTTTGGGGTCGGCCTCCTCCGTTCGTCGCCTCCGTCTCCACCCGGGCATCTGCTCCAAGGCCCAGCAGCGCCTCGAGCCCGTCAGGTGGCCGCTCTGCCTCCGCCCGCGCCCGGGATCCTGGATGGTCGCTCCGTCGCCCCGGGACCCCCGCCGCACCCCAACTCCATCCTCGGCCGGCCGGGTGATGCGGCCCCTTTAAGACTCTTCACAACAATGAAGCCGCTTGGGTCATCCCGCCCCCGTCGCCCGTCCCCATTGGCGACTTCTGCAACCTCCTCCTGCTATTGGCTGCGCCTCCAGCCCTCCCCGTCGCGGCCAGCGTCCTGCTCACTCATTCGCTGACTTTGAAGTCAGTCTTCCCGAGCTCACCCAGTCGAAAGGCTGAGCGAGAGGCGCTGTGTGGCCAATCAGAGCGGGAGAGCTCCGCATCCGGGGCGGGCCCTAGGTTCATTCAGAACATTCCTGCTGTCGCCGCACCCCGCAACCTGCGCACCCTGAGACCTGCTGCACCTCACCACGTGCTGCACCCCGAGACCTGCTGCACCTCATCACGTGCTGCACCCCGAGACCTGCTGCACCTCACCACGTGCTGCACCCCGAGACCTGCTGCACCTCACCACGTGCTGCACCCCGACTCCTGCTGCACCTCACCACGTGCTGCACCCCGAGACCTGCTGCACCTCATCACGTGCTGCACCCCGACTCCTGCTGCACCTCACCACGTGCTGCACCCCGACTCCTGCTGCACCTCACCACGTGCTGCACCCCACCACCTGCCGCACCCCGACACCTTCCACACCCTGACACCTGCCTCTCCGGAGGTGGTTCTGCATGTAGGGGTTCAGCGGCCAGTGCCCCGCTGCCTCAGCCCCACACGCCGGCTCCCCCACTTCTCCTGTGACTCAGCCCGGGCTGGACCACCCACCCCGTGTCCTCAGGAAACCCCGCGCCGCCTGCCTGCCCGTCTGCCTTTTTTTTTTTTTATTTATTTTGCCGGCTATGGCGGATGTTTAATTTCTGTCTCTCTCTCCCTGGGGACCATGTCTGGCCAGGACGGGGGTATACAGCAGGCGCCAGGACGGGGTATACAGCAGGTGCCCAGTCGGTTCCTCAGAGGGACGGGCTGGCTCATGTCCTGTTCACTTCCATCCCCATGACCCGGGGTGCAGCAGGGCAGCCCCAGACCAGTGACCCAGGGTGGGGCACAGCAGGGCAGCCCCAGGCCGGTGACCCAGGGTGGGGTGCAGCAGGGCAGCCCCAGGCCGGTGACCCAGGGTGGGGTGCAGCAGGGCAGCCCCAGGCTTTTGCTTCCATGACCTCTAAGTTATTGTCATGGCTCCCCTGACCTGTACACTGGCCCGGTGAGCCCCCCATGCTCACAGCCCACCCCCCAGCTCCCTGGGAAAGCAGTCAAGGACGGCCCAAAGCTTTGGGACCCTGCACCCACGTGGGAGACCCAGAAGAGGCTCCTGGCTTCAGATTGGCTCAGCTCCGGCTTGGGGAGTGAACCAGCAGATGGAAAGTCTTTGTGTTATTCCACCTTACAAATAAGTAAATGACAGGAGATTCGGGTGGAGCCCCCCTTCTGCCCGCCCGCTGGCTCTGTCCCCACCCGTCGCAAGGATGCAGATGGAAGATATGACAATGTGCACCCATGGCTCGGGCTGGTGCAGGGTGCTGTGTGAGCCTCGGGGACAGTGTCACCCCCATTTCTCAGACATGGAAGTGGAGGTCTGGAGAGGCCCAGGCCGCCCAGTAGGCAGAATGGACAGGACTGGGCGCTGGGTGTCCTGTGCCTCCTGCCAGAGGGAGGGGCTGGGGTCCCTGGGGCCAGTGGTGGGGAGAGCCCTGGGACTGGCTTTTCACAGCTGCTGTCATCACGCCCCTCTCACAGTTGGGGAAAGTGAGGCAGGTGGTGTCCTGGGACCACAGAGCGAAAGGGGCGTGCCTGTGTGTGTGGGGAACCTTCTCCCAGTGCCTTGGAGATGAGGCCCTAGTGGCCTGGCCGCAAGGCAGGCCTCCCACTCCCTCTGGGGGCAGGGCAGGGGGTGGGGCCCTGCCAGCTCCCTCCCCCACTGAGTCACAGGGCCTCTATGGTGAGCTCAACGTCTGGGAATTTGTGGGCTTCTGACCCCCCCAGCCCTGTGGGAAACGCTGCCGCCAAGTGTGTGTGTGTGTGTGTGTGTGTGTGTGTGTGTGTGTGTGTGTGTGTGTGTGCGTGCGCACAGCTATGCATGCTGGGGTGGGGTCACCATCCTTCCCTCCTGGGGTGTCCTGTCCTGCTACGGTTTGGGGCGGGGGCAGCTGAGTGCCTCTGGCCTTTACCGTGCTGAGGGTCTGTGGTCAGTTAGCAGATGAGGCCAGGGAAGGCTGGCACGGGCTGCCTGGGGTGGCTGGGTCTGGGGGCAGGGTGATGAGGGGCTCGTCCGTGGAAGGTCATGGGGATGTGGATGAAGGAGACCCCCGCAAAGCCTTTCCTGGCCTCTGGCTGCCCCTGGGAAAGGCTGGCACTGAGCAGGCACCAGGCTCAGGGCTCTGGGCGCCGCCCAGTGGCCAGTGGGACCACAGCCTGGTCTGATCTATCTTTCTCCCTTCCTCCCTGTCTCTCTCTCTCTCTTTCTCTCCTGCCACCTTCCAGGTAGGTCAGTAGGGGCAGCCGGGACAGGCGACCTGTTAAGGGGTGCCAGGGGCAGCAGGTGGCTCATTTCTGTCTCCTGCCCTTCACATACAAGCTGCCCAAGCCCCCGCTGGGCACAGCAATGAACATGCTGGCACTCCGTGTCTGCAGGTCCAGGGATTCGGGAGGCCTGGATGGAGGCCCTGGCTCCCAGGCTGGCATGATGGGCGCTCAGCGGAGTGGACCAGCTGACAGCAGATCTCTGCACCTCCCCAATAAAACATGAACACGGCCCCCCGCACCTCGGGGTTGGCCAGGGTGTGGGGTGGCAGAGAGAGGTCGGGTCTGGGTGGCCCTTGCGTTGTTCCCTCAGCTGTGTGCTGGGTCTGGAGTTGTGTTATTCTGCCTGCCCCAAACTCAGGCCTGCTGAAAGGGCTCCATTGGAGAGTCCTCCCCTGCAAGCGCCGAGATCCCACGTGGGTGCCAGTTTGTGGCCTGGGAAAGCAGTGGAGGACGGCCCAGAGCCTTGGGACCTGCACCCGCGTGGGAGACCCAGAAGAGGCTCCTGGCTCAACAGCTCTGGGGGTGAAGTGCACCCGTTACTCCTGTGTCTGTCTTTCCTTTCATCCCAGGAGGGCAAGCCAGCCCCACCTCAGCCCTGGGGTGTGGAGGGGGGACTGTACCCCGAGTGCTCCAGGGGTGGCCTCTGACCCACAGGGGTCCATTTGCAGACACAGTCCTCTGACCCCTCAGGGATGGGAGCGGTTGCCTTGGCTGGGCAGCCGCAGCCTTCCTGGGCGCAGGTGGAGACCATGCAGGCAGATCTACGTAGGGGTTAAGATCCTCCATGACTGCAAGGCCCGGCGGCGTGGTCTAGCGGCTAAAGCCTGCGCCGGGATCCCAAAGGGTGCCGGTTCGTATCCTGGCTGCTCCACTTCCCATCAAGCTCCCTTCCTGTGGCCTGGGAAAGCAGTGGAGGACGGACCAGGTCCTTGGGACCCTGCACCTGCGTGGAAGACCCGGAAGAGGCTCCTGGCCAGCTCAGCTCCCACTCCTCTGTGTATCTGCCTTTGCAATAAAAATAAAACTTGGGCCCGGCGCGGTTGCGTAGTGGTCCTCGCGCGCCCGGGATCCCATCCGCTTCCCTTCCATCTCTCCCTACCTGTCTTCTGGGAAAGACATCGGAAGTTCCTCTCTGTATATACGCCTTTTTTTTAAGTCCATGTGTCCCCCAGCCCCCTCACACACACTCACAAATTGGAATCAGAGAATCAGCATGGACTCACACACACCTTACTAGTTAGGACACGGGCATTAAGTACTCCTCACCAAGGTATGCAAGATTTCTCTGCACACCCCTCCTAAAACTGTTTCTCACCTCGATTGTTGAATTGTCATTGAAATAGTCCCACAAAGTTGATAAGGCCTTGCATCCAATTTTGACATATCGGTTGTTCCATACTGTGTCAGTTTATGTCTTAATGTTATATATTGTTGCTGATGTCATGTTGGGGCTTTTACTTGACTGGGATTTTGCTTTGTTGGCTTTGCCTTTGGACCGGGGAGGGTCTCCCTAAGAAGCCACTGAACTTGACCAGACAGTAATATGCTGGACTCTATGCTTGGTGTACGCTTGCAATGAAGGGATCTCAACTAAACTTGAACTGTGGTTACGCAACGGGGGGTTTGGGGGAGGAACCCACCATGGGGGGAGGGTTAGGGGGAGTCCCTGTGCTTATAGAACTGTGTCACATAATATAATGTAATTAAAAAAAAGTCCAGGGGCCGCCCGACCCTGGTGACCCCTCACCCTCCCCAGTGGCCCCCCACCCTGGTGGCGCCCCAGTTCACAGCTCCCCCAGACCGCGGGGCGGAACAGCCTGGTTTATTGTTGGGGTGCAGGTACAGACAGGACGGCCCCATCCAGAGCGGACCGGGCATGTCCACCACAGTGGGCGTGTCCATCAAGGCGGGCGGTCACTCCAGAGCTATGGGCGTGTCCAATCAGCCCTGTGGGCGGGGCCCAGGGCGTGTCCAACCGGCCCTGTGGGCGGGGCCCAGGGCGTGTCCAGAGGCGGGCGTGTCCAACCAGCACTGTGGGCGGGGCCCGGGGCGTGTCCCATCAGCGCTGTGGGCGTGACCGCCAAGGTGGGAGTCTCCATTGATGTGGGCGTGTCCCACCTGCGCCCGGGGCGGGGCTGTGGCTTGACCAGCATAGTGGGCGTGTCCATAGATGTGGGCGGTCACAGCAGCGCTGGGGGCCGTGGGCGGGGCGCAGGGGCGTGGCTGCCACGGTGGGCGTGTCCCGCCAGCGTTGGGGCGTGTCCACCAGCGCGGGGGGCGTTCCCCGGCGTCGCCCCGCCCCTCAGGAGCCCGCCTTGCTCGCGCCCTTGCCAGCCCCGGCCCCCTTCTTGGCCCCCTTCTTGTCGGCCGGCGCCTGCAGCAGCGCCAGCCTCTTGGGGAGGCTGCTGCTGGCCTTCAGCACCACGTCATGCTCGATCTTCTTCCGGATCCCCACCTCGAGGTCCTGCGGGGACAAGCACGGGGCGACGGGTGGGCGGGCGTGCGGGCAGGCCCAGCCTCGGCACCCCCAGCCCCGCAGCACCTGCAGTCCCGGCTCACGCCGCCGCCATGCTCCTGTCTGCCACCCGCCCGGGACTTCCACCCTGCACCCGCGTGGGGGACCCGGAAGAGGCTCCTGGCTCCTGGTCGGCTCAGCCGCTGCAGGTGCTGCCGCTTGCAGAGCACGCCGGCGGACGGAGCAGCTGGCCGTCTGTGCCCTCTCCTCCCGCACTCACCTTCCGCAGCTTCTGCTGCTGCACGATGCGCGCTTTCTTGGGGGCGATGATCCGGCCTGCAGGGAAGGCAGGGCGTGTGAAGCCGGGAGGCCCCAGGACGCTCTCCCCCCGCCGCCCGCGGCGTCCCCAGCCCCCGGCCCGCGCCTCACCGCCTTTCCTCGGGCCCCGGCTGCGATCCGCCGCCGCCGACGCCGCCTTGCTCTTGGCCGGCCGCTGCGCCTGGAACTTACGCTGCCCCTGCGCCATGATGGGGCTCGCGCCGGAAGAGGCAGGGCTTCTGCCGGAAAGGCGGGCACGCGCCGGAAGAGGCGGGGTACGCGCCGGAAGAGTGGCTCCTGACGCAATCCAGCCGGGCGGCGCGGCCGCGAAGACTCACGGGATAGAGCGTGGCATAGCGTTAAAGGGACAGGCACCCTCCTGGGTGCTCGTGTAGTTTTCTGTGCTTTATGCATGAACTCAAACCAGGGGTAGGCCCAGACGAGGCAGAGCCTGACCTCTGGCTGCAACATTTTAGAAAAAATACGTTTAAACAGCCTTGTTCCAGGTGCTTGGACCCTCCAACCACATGGGAGACCCGGAAGGAGAACCGGCCACTGGGGCCAGTTAGGGAGTGACCAGCGCAAGGATGAGCTCCCTCGCTCGCCCTCCCTCTGAAATAAACACATCTTACAAGACAGAAAATAATAATTTATTCTCATAAAATATATTATAAAACCTGTGAGAAACAGCCAGGTCGGAGGACGGGGGGCTGCTACCCCTGGGCTCCCAGGGACAGGGCAGCCGGGTCAGGAGGTTGTGGGGGCTGGCCACCCCTGGTTCCCGGGCAGGGGACGGGGCTGGCCACCCCTGGTTCCTGGGTAGGGGGACGGGGCTGGCCACCCCTGGTTCCCGGGTAGGGGACGGGGCTGGCCACCCCTGGGCTCCCGGGCAGGGGACGGGGCTGGCCACCCCTGGTTCCTGGGCGGGGGACGGGGCTGGCCACCCCTGGGTTCCTGGGCAGGGGACGGGGCTGGCCACCCCTGGTTCCTGGGCAGGGGACGGGGCTGGCTACCCCTGGGCTCCCGGGGACAGGGCAGCGCGGAGCTGGTCGGGGGTGAAGACGCCCAGTTCTGTGATGATTCCCCCGGTGATGAGCTCGTGGGGGGTGACATCAAAGGCGGGGTTCCAGACCCCAATGCCTGGAGGGGAGAGAGGCAGGGCTGGCTGTACTGGGTCTGTTTGCACCCGGGGGGCTGTGGGGCTGGCTTGGGGGGCCTTCCTGACCATCCCACCCAATGTGGAGCGAGACAAGGCCTCCTGGCGGGGAGGTCCTGGTTATGGGGGCACACCCCCATGCCTGCCCCGGGTGGGCAGCTCACCGGGCGCCGCGATGCGGACGCCGTTCACGTCCGTCAGCTCCTGGCCGGGGCGCTCCTCGATGGTGATGTCGGCGCCCGTCTGCAGCCGCAGGTCGCAGGAGGAGCTGGGCGCCGCCACGTAGAAGGGGATCCCGTGGTGCTTGGCGGCGATGGCCAGCTGGTAGGTGCCCACCTTGTTAGCCGTGTCCCCGTTGGCCACCACGCGGTCGGCGCCTACCACCACGGCTGCCAGGGAGCAGGGTCAGGGGGTGAGCAGGCGGGGCGTCGACACCTGGACCCTGGATGGCCAAGCCTCGTCCACCCTGGCCAGGCCACCTCCCGGGGAAGAGGTCGTGCCCACCTGACACGCCCTTGTGTGCCATGGCCGCCGCCGCCATGCTGTCCGTGATGAGGGTGGCGGGGATGTGCTCGTAGACCAGCTCGAAGGCCGTGAGCCGGGCTCCCTGGTTGTAAGGCCGGGTCTCCGTGCAGAAGGCGTGCTCCAGGCGGCCCAGGCTGTGCAGGGAGCGGATCACGCCTGCGCCACGGCGGGGTGGTGGTTAGGGGAAGGGGTGTGCCAGGGTCCCCACGCGTGTTCACAGTCCCAGCCCCGGGTGTCCTGTGCCGGCTCTGCTTCCCATCCGCTGGTTCACTCCCAAATGGCCCTTAATGGCTGGGCCAGGCTGAAGCCAGGAGCTTCCTCTGGGTCTCCCACCCGGGTGCAGGATCCTAAGACCTTGGGGGCACAAGCAGGGAGCTAGATGGCAAGTGGGACGGCTGGGACTTGAACCCGTGCCAACTGACACACCATGGCTCCCACTCACCCAGGGCCGTGCCGTAGCCAGCGGTGGCCAGCGCCCCGGTGTTGCAGTGGGTCAGCACGGTCACCTTGCCGCCCCCCGGGGCTGCCTTGGCTAGCAGGTCTTGCGCTCCCAGGTCCCCGATGCGCCTGTTGTCCTTGAGGTCCTGTTCCAGCATGGCCTCGGCGTAGCGGATCACTCTGGGGCCGAGGAGAAGGGGGCCTGAGCGTCTGCAGAGCGGCCTGGGCTAGCCCGGCGCGGGTGTCCGTTCCGGGGAGGCCCGGGTACCTCTCCCGCACCGCCTCCTCCGTGGCGCCCTCCTGCTCGGCCTCACGGGCCGCGGCGTCGGCCAGGTCCCGGGCGGCGCGGGCCATGTTGACCGCCGTGGGCCGGGCGGTGACCAGGAAGCTCAGGCGTTCGCGGACAAAATGCATGAGGGCGGCGAGTCCTGGGCCCCCGGCGCCCGCCTGCAGCTCCACGGCCAGGCTGAGGCAACCCACCAGGGCGATGGCTGGGGCGCCGCGCACCTGCCGGGGCCAACAGAGATGCGGTGGGCTTGCGCGTCGGGCCCTTCTCCTCCCCGCCGCCGCCACCGTGCGCGCCCAGGCCGCGCCGCTCCCACCTTCATGGCGCGGATGACCTCCCAGGCCTGCTGCACCGACTCCACCGCCTCGTAGCGGCTCTGCCCCGGCAGCAGCAGCTGGTCCAGGATGTGCAGCGAGCCCCGGGAGTAGCGGATGGCTTCCAGCGCCATGGCCTCGGTAGCCGCCGTGCGCGCTCAGCCGCCTTCCGCAGCGCGTGCGCCCGGGACGCACGGGAACGGGGCGGGACCAGGTCTCTGGGCGGGGAAAGCTCCGGAGCCGGACGCACAGGCGCGCAGCAGCCCTAGAACTGGGTGTGTGGGAATCACACAGCCTGCTTCTCCCAAATCCCAGGAGGCCAGCCTGAAGGCGCTGGCGCAGGGAACCTCCGGCCGCTGCATCCCGTGGCTGGCAGAGGGGCCTGCGCCAGCTTCCACCTGCTAGAGGGTCTTGGCAAACTCGAGCACCGTCTGACTCCGGGGGCAGGGGGTACTCTCCGTTGTCCCCCCTCTGTATTTTTAAATGCCACTCCCGCCCCAGGGCTGAGACAGGCATACTACGGGGTGGTTCTCAGCCTGGGGTGGCATCCGAGTGCCGCTGTGGGAGATGTGGGGGTCCCGGGGGGCGGCCTGCTCCCCTCCATCAGCATTTAGAGCATGGCCCTTCACTTGACACAGGACCAAGTCTGCTGTAGCAGCCTGGCATGTGTAAGTCACCCTAGGATGCTCCCCCAGGGGTGACGCCACCCCAGGGTGTGACAGGACGCTGGGGGAACATGTCTCCATCAGGGCTTACAGGACTGTGCTGGGGCTCCCTGGGGACACTGGGGCCCCGGCCGGTGGGCGGAGGGACAGCGTGAAGGGGGTGGGATGACTCGGGGCTGGTGGCTGTGGGAGCGTCAGTGGGGGTCTCCCCGTGAGTGAGGGAACAGCTTCGGGGTGGTGGGCACAGCGTGTGCCCTGAGCCCACCACGGAGAGACACCTGCCGGGTTGGGAGTGGTGTGGGCCAGGGTGGCAGGGCCAAGGGGGCAGCCCGCTGACCACGGCTCACAGCCGCCCTCTGCTGGACATTCCCGGGAACTGCTGATGCCGAGATGCATCACTGACCATGGGTGACCACCGCTGACCACGGCTCACAGTCGCCCTCTGCTGGCCATTCCCGGGAACTGCTGATGCCGAGATGCATCACTGACCATGGCTGACCATGGCTCACAGTCGCCCTCTGCTGGACATTCCCAGGAACTGCTGATGCCGAGATGCATCACTGACCAGGGCTGACCACCGCTGACCATGGCTCACAGCCGCCCTCTGCTGGCCATTCTCGGGAACTGCCGATGCCGAGATGCAGCCCAGGCCCAGCAGGAGAGAAGATGCTGAGATGGACTTGGCGGTGTGGTGGGCAGGAGGCAGGCGTGGGGCCAGCTGGGGCGCAGCAGGACGGCTGCAGGGTTGAGGGCAGAGCTCCAGGAACTTGAACATGGCCGTGCCAGTCCCTGAGCTGGGGCATTCTGGATGGCTATGGGAACACCCCCAGGTGCTCCACTGCCACCCAGCTCCCTGCCTGCGGCCTGGGAAAGCAGTGGAGGACGGCCCACAGCCTTGGGACCCTGCACCTGCGTGGGAGACCCGGAAGAGGCTCCTGGCCAGCTCAGCTCCCACTGTGGCCACTTGGGGGGTGAACCAGAGGATGGAAGATCTTCCTCTCTGTGTATCTGACTTTGCAATTAAAAAAAAATTCGGGCCCGGCGTGGTGGCGCACGGATGGAAGATCTTCCTCTCGCTCTCTCCTCTCTGTATATCCGCTTTTCCAATAAAATAAATCTTTTAAAAAAATAAAACTTAATACGTCCAGCGTTCCCTCAGCCCCCTCAACACACACTCACTCACACATGCACACTCACAAATTGGAATGCATAGGCAGAGAATCAGCATGGACTCACACACACCTTACTAGTCAGGACACAGGCATTAAGTACTCCTCACCAAGGTATGCAAGATTTCTCTGCACACCCCTCCTAAAACTGTTTCGCTCCTTGATTGTTGAATTGTCATTGAAATAGTCCCACAAAGTTGATAAGGCCTTGCATCCAATTTTGACATATCGGTTGCTCCATACTGTGTCAATTTATCTCTTAATGTTATAGATTGTTGCTGATGTTATGTTGGGGCTTTTAATTGACTGGGATTTTGCTTTGTTGGCTTTGCCTTTGGACCGGGGAGGGTCTCCCTAAGAAGCCACTGAACTTGACCAGACAGTAATATGCTGGACTCTATGCTTGGTGTATGCTTGCAATGAAGGGATCTCAACTAAACTTGAACTGTGGCTACGCAACGGGAGTGGTGTGGGGCGGAGGAACCCACCATGGGGGGAGTGTTTGGGGGAATCCCAGTGCTATAGATGTGTGTCACATAATATAATGTAATTAAAAAAAAGTCCAGGGGCCCCCGACCCTGGTGGCCCCCCAGTTCACAGCACCCCCTCCCCAGTGGCCCCCCACCCTGGTGGTGCCCCAGTTCACTGCTCCCCCAGACCGCGGG